GCCTGGACCTTTCAATCCCACCTTTACTTATTATTTAAAAAAAAGGTGGGGTGTTAGACATGGCAGATTAAGGAATAAAGGGCGTCGAATTCTCAAGACTGCTTCCTGCTGATGTGGGGCACCTGAGAAGGTTGGGGTGCTGCCACATCCTGGGGTAGTTGTTTCATCGCAGTCCAGGCTGTATGGAACTCCCTGGCGCCTCTTAGGCCTGGCAAGATGTTGGCAGAGCAGAGGACAAGGTTAAGTTTAGAAAAAAAAATTTCTTAGGTCCGGGCACTTGAGGGAAAGATTGTAAGATGAGGAAAGGGTTCCCGAGAGGTCCCAACCTTTCAGTAGTTCCTTTGATACTATGTTGGTTTGGCAAAGTGGTTTCCCCATTTAAAATACTAGTCTCCCCATAATTAAATCTTCAATTATCAAAAAGATGTAAATGAAAATCACAATGATATATCCCTTAATACCTGTAAAAATGAGTATCACAAGAAAGTCAAAAGACAACAAACATTGCTATGAACGGAAAGAAAACCTTGGAGCACTGGTAGAGTATAAATTAATACAAACATTGCCGGGCGGTGGTGGCACACGCCTTTAATTCCAGCACTTGGGAGGCAGGCGCAGGCGGATCTCTGTTAGTTTAAGACCAGCCTGGTCTACAAGTGCTAGTTCCAGGACAGCCTCCAAAGCCACAGAGAAACCCTGTCTCAACCTCCCATTAATAAAAACACTATAAAAAAAGAGGTTTCTCAAAATGATGGAATCATATTTTATTTCAAAAAATTAAAATTAAAAACAGATTTGCCATATGATCCAGCAATTTCATTACTAGATATACAATAAAGTAAATAAAGTTAATATTTCAAAAAAAATCTACTTCCCCATATTCACTGAAGTACTGGTTACAACAACCAAGATACGGACATGACCCATGTATTCATTGACAGATGCATATATAAGTGAGTCAAGGATTATATACACGACAGAATACTGTTAAGTTTTTAAAATAAGAATTCCTGGGCAGCTCCGTGGCTCAGAGCATCTGTAACTCCAGTTCCAGGGGATCTGACACCCTCACACAGACAAATGCTGACAAAACACCAATACACATAAAATAAAAATAAATAAATTAAAGAAAATGCTGGGCGGTGGTAGCAAACGCCTTTAATCCCAGCACATGGGAGACAGGGACAAGGGTATCTCTGTGAGATCGAGGCCAGTCTGATCTACAGAGCGAGTTCAAGGACAGGCCCCAAAGATACAAAAAAAAACCTGTCTCAAAAAGCAAAATGAATAAATAAATAAATGAATAAATAAGAAATCCTGCAATTTGTGACAACTCAGATGAAGGACATTATGGCAAGTATAATAGGCATGGCAAGACAAATACTGCATAATCTCACTCAGATGAAGAATCTCTAAAAAATATGAAGAGTAGAAGTGGGATTATCTGAAGTCAAAGGGTAAGTGAAACAGGGAGATTAGGTCAAATGGTACAAACTCTCAGTTATAAGAGGAATATGTAGCTAGGAGCGACAGTACATGCCTATAATCCCAGCACTCTAGAAATGAGGCAGGAGGACTGCTTCAAATTCAAGGCCAGCCTGCTATAAAATGGCTTCTAGGTCATCCATTTGCTACATAGTGAGAACCTGTATCCTGTCAAAAACTGTCCAGGGAATTTAATGTATAGCATGGTGACTAATTAATCTTAATATGTGGTACACTGGAAAAGAAACGATGTGAGGTGATGGATATACTAATTATCTTATCATGGTAATTATCTCAGTGTATGCTCATACCAATCGTCTTTTATAACCCTCAAATTCTTATTCTGTCAGTCAGTCCTCAGTAACCCTGAGAAAAGTCATAACAAAAAGATAACACTTAAATGTATAATAAACTACCAGAATTAAAAAAAAAAAACTTGTTCCTTTTGAGCCAGTCATCTCAACTCAAAGTATTGCATGCATATAGCTGAAAGACCCCCAGGCCCCTAAGGGGCACAGGGTCCTGAGGAGCCCCCGAGACTCAGAAACCAGACCAAGAACTGCAAAAGCAAGAGGGTTTATTGAATGAATGCGCATTCGAGTGTCAGCAATATCGGGAAAGCTGCACACCTTAGCATGGGGTGCAAGCTCCTTATATAGGAAAAAACTGCAGATCAGCATACAGGCAAGGGGCACAAAGTGATTGACTACAAAGTATGATCTCATGTTAGAGTGGTCAACCAGGTGTGACCTGCTTTTCTACAAAGGAAAAGCCACAGAATGTACCCTGAAAAGTCCTTGATTGTCTGTTGGCCAGGTGTGACCCAAAAAGGATTGTTTGTCTGCCCTCGAGTTGGGGCCAATTTCCTTGTCCTGGGCCAAGGCCTGTGGGAAACTTTTTCTCTCTGTGAACTAAAATCTTTCAAAACTTTTTCTCTCAGCAAACTAAAATCTTTCATTGCCCCATTTTTTTTGTGAGGTTTTAATCCTAAAACCTATGGTCCTTCTTATTGCCTGAGAGCCTGATATTGCTGATTAAGAACTAGGGGGAGATTAGGGTAGTGAGTCAAGGGGAGCTGTTAAACCATCCTTTTAACCTGCCTTGTTGGGACTCCCTTTCCTTTTGACGCTGGTTGAGTCTTTCTCTGAGCTTGGCCATGGAATCCCTAATAACTCCAGAATGGTTAACATAGAAACAGAACTCTTTTAGGGCAGCACAGAGTCTGCCTTCCTTAAGGAAAAGGAGATCAAGTCCCCTACGATTCTGGAAGGCAACTTCCATTAGAGAAGCCAAAGACTTTTCTAACTTAGTGATGGATCCTTTTATGGCTTTAATATCCTCATCTATGGCTGTTTTTAGCTCATTATAGTGGTGGGGTCCCTGGACCAGTGCTGCGGTTCCAGTGCCGACCCCGGCCGCCATCTCCATGTCCCCATCAGGGAGTGAGAGATATTGTCATTCCCCCATGTAAGGGAGTTCCTTTTGACTTAGCATTTTAACTAGGGAAAATGGGCGACGTATTCTTTTCCATGCTACTTCCTGCTGACTTTGGGACGAAGTTAGGGACCCAAGAAGGCTGAAATGCTAGTCAAAAACAAAAAAAGGAATTTAGGCAATGGGGAATCCATCAGGAGTTTCTGGTTGGCAGACTCTGCTGCAGAGATAGGGGGTGTCCATATCAGCTGGACTGGTTCACATA